ACATAACTCAAGCTGTAAGTTGGGTAGTTGATCATCAATGGTTGCTCCAAGAGGGTTATTATAAAGTAGTACACTGCTTTTGAGACTTTCAATTTCTTCAAATCTTGAATTCACCGTTGAATTCTTCTGCTATTTGCAGACAGCTAGGGAAGTGTGTCAGGCTGTTCTTTTCCAAAGCACGTTTTAAACACGTTCAGCTTATTCCTGAATCCGTTTATCAATCCGATCAAATCTGAAACCGTCTGGTTTCTTCCGTGAAGACTTAAGTTTAACATGTTAAGATGGTTATAAATTATAACCTGGATCCTTAAACTTCTCTTCCAGTTCAGTTGTGCCAGATGAAACGTATTTGTTGAGGAATGCAAAGATTTCCTTTCTTATGGCAAAAAATTGTTCCATGCATTTTCCTGCACTCAGCCACCTTACATGGTTGTACATTAGCAAGTCTCCATACTCAGCCTCTGCTTCCACTAAAAACTGCTTAAGTTGCCTGTGTAAAAGAGATCGATTTCCACCTTTAATCATATTTATAATCTTAATCACGGTGTGGAAAACTTGATCTTCCACATAAAGCTCCATGATGTATACTTCATCTAATTTAGATAACGACTTACGTCATTATCTACGTCAGAGATGGAAGTTGACATAGTTGCCAAAGTATAAAAAAATCCTGACTCCATTTTAAATCAAATAGGTCACAAAACTATTGCAAAAGTATTATTATCTCTTTACAACGACTATTTAACTTCTTACGTGACATTTTTGAAATAAAACACACTAATTTTGTTCTAAAAAGAACAGATTTTATTAAATAGGTAAAAATATAAAACAAGAGGTATTCACTTTAAAATTCAAAATAATAAAGTACAAAAAGTGTCAACACCGCAACTGTCAAATAAGTGTTACCAATTTATGCCAAAATTTTACCTTCGTTCGATTACAGTTACAGTGTGTTCCGAACAAATGTTCTTGATAAAAACTCTTTATAATGGATTTATACAAATTAAATGAAACATATTGTCTATTTCTGTAAGTTAACATTAATAGAAATTTTTAAATATTATTTCTACGCGTATATAACAAAATATGCCTAGTGGCTGTAATGCCAGTGTACTCGGTAAAGTGATTCTAAAAAGAACACACCTAAACCCTAAATATTTCGTGTTGGTATTATATGACGTCACAGGCTATGACGCCGATGACGTGAATCGTTATATAAATTAGATGAAGTGTATAATACAATGAATTGTTGGGCAAGTGACACCATTCTCTCGAAGCAGATCCACTAATCCAATTTTTTTACCTGTCATTGATGGGGCCCCGTCTGTTGCTATGGCTGAACATTTATCAAAGCCTCCAATTCTGTCAACTGTTTTCTTCACAGCCTCATAGATGTCTTTTCCTTTTGTTGTTCCATAAAGAGGACAAATATCAAATAACTCCTCTTTACTGGTAAAATCATCAAAAGTAGTGCGCACAAATATTAACAGCTGACTTACATCGGTTTGATCAGTGCTTTCATCCAAACAAAGTGAGAAATATGAACTTTTCTTAACCAGGCTAAGCATAGATTTTTCTACTTGCTCACCCATAGCAACAATCCTTCTTTGTATGGTTTGATGTGAAAGTGGCACTGATTCAAATTTCTCCGCCATTTTAGAATCACCGAAAGCTTTGGCCATTTCAACAGCACATTTTTTTATCAAATTGCCATCAGTGAAAGGTTTTTTGCCTTTGCCAGCTCAAGCGACACAGCATAAGATGCATGCAAAGAATGCGTTTGAGGGTGTAATATTTTACTGAACATACCAGTTTGCTGTGTAAGCTTTTTCTTCAAATCTGCAACTAGGGCACACCAACTTTCATTTGTGTGCGTAGCATACTTATTTTCATGCACTGTTGTGTAATGTCTTCTCACATTATATTCTTTAGCCACTGAAACGACATTCATGCACACTAAACACTGCAACTCTCCATTATTGTTAGCTATCAAGTAATCACTCTCCCAACTTTCTTTGTAAATTCTGTTCTTACTATCTTCTTCTTAGGGTGCCTGTCCATTCTGAATGTTGGCGATCATTCTGGCTATGATGATTTTGTTGGTTGCTATCTCTATTCTCACTATCAATTTTCCGTTTTACTAGTTTTACACTCATTATTGTATAAGAGGAATCAAGACAAAGAATTAATCAAGTTCACTGTTCACTAGCAACATAATAGATTAGCCGACTAGCCTATGTGTCAGTAGCACACTGGCACGATGGCGGCTGGCGACGGATGGTAAGTAGTGGGAGGTGTGGCCTGCGTGAACTGTGATGCGCAGTAATCAGAGCAGTTTTCATAGTGGTGGAGGAAAAAACAATTTAGTTTTTGGAGCTGTGGCCTTTTCCAAACAAACACTGATGATTTTATGATTAATAATAGAAAACTCCAATATTATTACGGAAAAAATTTATTAGGTGGCAAAAAAAACATGTTGAATGTTAATAGTCTTTTAGTAATCTTCCTCTGGTGGTTCATCACTATTAGTGGTAGGCCATAAAATCAGCTCATTATAAAAAAACATTTTTTCTTCTGGCACATATTGTACAAGTTTCTTGATGTTGTCCATTTTTTCAAATTAATAGGGATTTTTTCTGTGTAAGCAGACTCTGTTGGCAAACTAGGACAAACTCTAGCTGGTTTTCCCATCGATAAATGGATGTACTGTAACAATTCCCAGTTTTTTGTTGTCATATTCAAACTCATTATATTAAGAAATTTGAAGAGTTGTTTTCTCATGTTTGGTTTTTTTCCCATAGGAGTCAATGGAGAGTACAGTTTTCTTATAATGCATGGGACACCATTTTTTGAATTCCAAAATTGTTTCATTTTTTACCAGTTCTATAGAAAAAAGAGATTTTCTTGATGATTTTTTTATCAATTTGTAATATTCTTCAGGAAGAAAAATTCGATCCTGCTTGCGAAATCCCACTGATTGGAAAATAATGAAAAATGTGATTGAATTTTCCTGACAAAGCAAGAGCTGGAAGGAATCTTATTACTGTGTGTTTCTTATTTTGGCCTGCACAACCATCTGAAAACATATGGACTTCTTTTACATTTTCAGAAACCTCATTTTTAAAATAATTATTCAGAAAGGTGCACACTTCATTGGGTCTTTTGTGGTCCTCGCCCTCGTGATAGAAAAAAAATTTAGCTTCCCCTGTTTTTAAGTTGTGTATACTGTTTACTTCAAAAACCCATAACTGCCGATAGTAAAAAAATTCCTGTAGAGGTATGTAAGGTATTAGCAACTTTTGCATATAATCCATGGAGATTACTAGTATCTCATCTGTCTCTGAAGAAAGTTTTTTAATATGCTCTAGTTTTTTATAAAATTTCTGAGCCCTATTTTTGTGAACTAATAGTTCTGCAACAGCAACTCGTTTGGTAATGTTGTTGAGAGTGGTACTTTTAACTTTCTGGCCAAGTTCTTTACAAGCAGAACATACATCAACTTGAGGATGACCAAAAGAGTATGTAAACATAAACAATTTATGCATTTGTTTGACAAGTAGCAGGTAAATACTTTTTTAATAATGGACATACATAATGGACTTCTTTTACATCAAACGATTGTATGTGCTCACATATTTGAAAGAATTCATCTGGTATTAAATTATGCCTAGATTTAACAGATTTACCTCTATTATCTCTTGGAGTGGATCCAGTCTCTACTAGGTGGCATAATCTTCTGACATGCTTTCCTCCAACACCATATAAACTTAAGAAAGCTTTCTTACATACTTGATTACATACTCCTTTTAAACATGAAACAAAAAATTATTGGGTCTCTCAATACATTTAATGGCATTCTGAGATTTTCTCATTATTTTAATGGGAGTTACTTCGATCATATATTGTAAGTATGAGTCTTGTGAGTTTTTGTCATCAAAGTCATTTAACAATGTAAACAATGCATTATTCACTACACTTCTTGCGACAAGTTCAGTTGATTCCAGTTTTTCACACCATAACTTGTTTTCCCACGTGATTAATATGGGCTTGGCCCTTAACTTTAGCCTTCTTAATAACTTCACTTTTATACAGGGCCAGATTAATAATACTTTTCTTTCTTTTCCTTTGTTTATTTTCAACAATGACACTGGTTTCACTATCACAGCTACTCATTTTTGTATAAACAATACACAATGGAACCTAATTGTACTAAAGATAATAGTCAGTTGGTCTAGGAAACTAGGAAGGTCCGCGACCGTAACCACTAAAGCACATGTCCGGCACGTGCAGTTTGTTTCGAAAAACGTCACATCTCCAGAGAACTGGCCTTTTCGAAATAAATAGAGAATTACGCCTATCAAGATTAATAGTAACAAACAGCGGAGATGTGTCTCCGCTAGACAATGTCAAAAATGTCCTAGTGTCTAGAAAATGTCACAAATTATTGACTAAACTAATATTTAAATGTTATCATAAAAACACATTGATCTAACTAGTTCATATAGTAATTCACTAACTACATATTTAAGAGTATAGGTAAGAGCTGTACTCTTAAATGCTGTTTTCCATTTAATATGGTTTAACTATGTTTAATTCAGGCAATTCTCTTAAAATACTCTTATCTGTATAAAGTATTTTTTAACACTATCGTATCATTTAGTAACAGAGGCTAGACAAAATTTTAATCTAATGGCTGTAATAAATCAAACAGTATTTTTTCAATTCAACTTTTTGAATCTTATGTACTGCAGTGAAAAAAAACTCATCCCTTATATTTAAAAAGTTTCTTGTTAGGAATATGACACTGATGTAATAAATGTAACTGATTGATAAATATATAGAGTTACTTAGTATAAATAAAAGCTAAAAAAATATTAAAAATGCATTCAATGTTACTATATTTACACAGTACAAATGGACATGACTATGGAGTAAATAAAAAGTATGACCTGTTTATGGTTTATATGTTCTCATACACTTAAAAACAAATATCTACTAACCTCATATTCCTTCATTTCAAAAGAAACAGCTGATCTGTTTGCCAAAGCAAGGCCATACTCCCTACTTCCAGGTGTGGCATTACACAAACTTTTTGTGTAAAACTCCAAGCTTCTGAGTAAATTTTTTTGAGCATAACATTTGTTTCCTTCCTTCCTGTAATGTATGGATATCCTATTATCTTTTGCCACTTTATTTTTAAACTGATTTTCAAGCCAAGAGTCCACAGGAGTTCTAAAAATAAATTTGTTTATGGATGCAATTATCTGGTTTCTCTATTAGTCTTACAAATCTAGGTTGTAAAATTTCGAAAAGACATCGAAGATGTTCCCGTCGATTTTCGTGAATTTCTCGTTGTAATACGCCAACAAACAATCCATCTTTTCCGCTTTTATCTAAAGAAAAAAAGAGGGCAGTTAAAAACAGTTGGACCAGATGTATGTTGCAACTTGAAAAACAAACAAATTACGACATAGATCACTACTTATACAATTCACTTATGATATACACACCTTTTTGATGATTCATTAATCTTTATTTTCACGGGATTTTCATTGTAAGAACACAAATTCATTTATTTCTTCGGTAAACTAGGTTAGGCAGCGTATTAAAAAGTGACAACCAGACTCTGTCCTTGAAAATTATATGATGTCCATTTTGAACTACCGGCTTGGGGAATCTACGGCACGTTTGAACTATTTTGACAATTTCAAATAATACCTTCAGATATTTTAAATTTAAAACGGCATTATATACTATAACAGTATGTTTAAAGTGAACTTAAATTTAGTTTTAGGGATTGTACCTATTTATTTATAATGAAATACTCATTTTTGTATTATATTATGTGGGTACGTAATTATTATTTGTTATTAGGTACCTACATTCAATTGAATCATTAAACACATTTGAATTTTTATAAAGTAAGATCTTTTGTAGTATTATGTATTTACGATTCATTGCAGTTGCTTTTTCTGCTGGTTTTACAGGTTTTCAACAAGTTATCAAAGTATTTCTACCAGCGCGTGTTTATGTCTTTATTTACTCACTACTATTTTATTGTTTTCCTCTCAGATGCTCATAATCTGATTGAAATATTTTGCTTTTTTCTATATTTGGGTATTCTACATATCTATAGTGTAAGTGTATGCTCCAACTGCAAATAATTCAAGAAGTTGAAATAGAACATTTTTATGAACAACTCAAATAACTTTTACAATACACCAGGAAGAAATTGGGTAAGGGAAAGATACTTACGATTTTTTCTCTTTTTCTTTCCGAACTCGTATACTTGCTTTTTTCTTGGTCTCATCTCTTTTCAGATATACTATCTGCAGTTCCAATTCTTTACATGTAGACTGCTTGTTCTTCTTTGAGTTTATGTTTGACGAATTGCTTTGCTATCTTTTCAAACCTATCTGAATGGTATACATCCTAGTATCTAGTTCACGATGAAGATGAAAACCAATTTATCCTTACCATTTCTCGATGTTCTCGTAAAGAAAAATCAATCTCAAGGTTTCCATTACTCTGTTTACCGAAAACCTGCCCATACCAATTGCTATTTGCATGCTAACTCCCATCGCCCACCTTCGCAAATGATTTTTTTCATTAATACCCTTGTTTCCAGAACCAATACGCATTTCCGATGATTCTACGAAATATAATGATGATGATACGAAAGCTTTTCTTCCTTGTACCAAAGGTACCACAACATCACAGATTTTATGAAATTCCTTGTGCGGACTTTCCACGATCTTACATGGGCCAAACCAGTAGAAGAATCCAAAATAAGATCTATAAACACTAAGAATTATCCGAGAAGCCACAGAGAAAGAAAAACACCCGAGTTGTCTCAACAAAATAGATTATTGTACCCGGTTGCGTTTAATATGAAGACCTCTTTTTAATCACGTCATCCGCTGCGTCTACCAGTCCAGCATACACTCAATAACCCGCAAAAAAGGCACCTTTGGCGGATTATTAAGTGAACAATGTCGATTTAAATATCGGAGTCGTTTAACACACGTCTATCACGTTAGCTACAATTCTGTCAAGAGCAGGGCCCTGATTCTATTTCATTTCGATGTTGAAATTTAAAAGCGACTACGCCATGACAGTCGGAATCGCTAGCGATTCTCATTCATTTCGATTTTAGTTAAAAGTGGGGATATTTACTTTATCATTTTGACACTGCTCAGAATTTGGGTTGGCCGTCTTGTTTATTGGCTGCACGCTGCACAACGCTTGTTAAATGTTTGTTTTGTTTACGTTAAACCTTTTGTTTCTTGTTTTAGTTGTTAAATTTTTAGTGGCCATTCTCAATTATTATATTTTGAATTGAAAGAAAATGGATGGAGAGGCTGTCGGTGATGGTGGCACTAAATTGTCTGTGGACTAAAAAGAAATTATGGTGGCTTTTGACTTAGTGGTTATATTCTAATATATTTTTAGATTTTCTGCAGCTTGGTAATACTTATCCTAAACATTTTGGGTCTCCTAGAGGCATAAACACCCTCCACCAAATATGGTTCTAATATCCTTATCAAATAATTTGCAGCTTGTTTATTAAGGCGGAATTGCTGCCTAAATTGAGCATCACTTAGTGAAAAAGGATTTTGAGTATCCGGTAACATTCTTCTTAAGGCCGTATGACACTATGCATTTTCTTGTATCATTTCTTATATCGTTTCTGATATAACAAAAAAATGGATAGTGTCATAGAAGCGTATAGTTCTTATATCAGAAACGATACAAGAATTTGTGTCCGCTGCAGTTTCTTGTACAAGAAATGAGCCAATTTGTGCGCAAAAACGTAAAACATGTCATAATGGCGGCTGGAGGAGAACTTTGATATATAATTAGACCAAGCAGACATCAGAGAAAAGTGGCCACCAGGCACCAACAATAACCAAGATTAGAACAGCAGTAGCCAAATTAAAAAACAATAAATCACAGGGATTGGATCAAATAGCATCGGAACTACTGAAAGTAGGAGATGTATTACTAAAAACAATACATAACAGCTCTAAAAATTCGTGATGAGTTAAAGATTATTTTATATCTCCAAATAAGAGAGTAGAATTTCAAGAGCATGCCATTCAAACACATAATTTGTAAAAACAACAAATAAATTATTACAACCATATTACAACCAAATTATTTATTATTTCTATCTTCCATTCCAGCCTGTTGAATATCCTCAAAAATTGTGGTTTCCAATTTAGTTTTAATATTGGGACATTTTATGTCTTTAATTTTTGCACCACAGTATTTAAAAAAATAATCAGTAGCATGGGGCCCCCCCAGGTACTGCAGTTCTATTTTTATAGGTGTCAAAATTTCGACCAATTCTTGCAAGGAAATCACAGTTTTCCTTGCAAGAATCAAACAAAACAACACCGCCTTAACTGAACCTAATTTTACTTCTCCCAGTCCATCCAGTCATGGCACATTAATTTCGACTCGAAATGAAATGTCAACCACTTTCTTGAAGTTGAAATTAATTTCGATAAAACGAATATTAGTGACGTCCTTTAGTTAGTTCAGCTGAAATCTACTAGGCTCGCAAAGTCGCATTTCGACGTCGCCATAATAATTTCGACATGTTTTGAATCGAAATCTCAAATAGAATCAGGGCCCAGGATTATTACAAACACATTTTACAAGTTACCAAACAGACTACTGCATGCATGATGATCGCATGCACATACATCGGAGAAAGTAGTCAGGAACCAGATATACTACATAATGATCAATGAAAGATACCGTAATGCTGTTAAAGCCGTGAAAGCATATCCTGGATCAGACATAGCCTCCGATCACAATCTACTTATCGCCAAGATTACACTCACCCTTAAGAATATTAAAAGACATCAAAGAACCAATACGATAGACAAAAGAAAACTTAAAGAACGTAACGTAAAAGAATGCTTCCAACATGAACTGCAGCAAATTGAACACAAATACCAATGATATTGATGAGTACTGGGATCGACTAAAACATTGTCTACTGGAACCCTGTAAAGAAATACTAAAGACTTCCGCAAGGAAAAAAGAAGAATGGATTAATGAATAAACTACGAGATCAGGAAGATGATATAAGCAGGTATAAGAAAAATATTTGGAAGAGAAATACAAAGAATAGACCTTCAAAATAAAAATGATGTGTTTAACCTACACAATAAAGTTAAAGAACTGGCAGGACTAAGAAAACAAAATCCCACTGGTGCACTTATGGATAGACAAGGGACTACTATAGCACAGACGGACGAGAAAGTACAAAGATGGGTAGAATATATCGAGGAATTGTTCGATGATGAAAGAGGAGATCCAAAAATTCTAGATGAGAAGCACATTGAAGTTTTAGTGACACTCTTGAACTAAATTTATAGTTCAGGGCGTAGTACCCAAAGAGTAGTTAATGTCTATTTTTATGTGTCTCCCCAAAAAGAAAACCGAAAGAGAATGCAGCGATTACCGCACCATTAGCTTGATGTCTCATATGCTAAAGTTACTACTAAAAGTCATCCATAACCGAATATATCACAAACTGGACATAGACGTTAATGATAAACACTTTGGTTTATGCAAAGGCCTAGGAACGCGTGAAGCTCTTTTTTCACTTAATATACTGATACAAAGATGCCTGGACGTCAATCAAGATATATGCGCATGTTTTATTGACTATAATAAACGATTTGATAAAGTACGGCATGAACAATTATTGAATGCCCTAAAATCAAAGAAAATTGACTACAACGACCTCAGGATCATATCAAATTTATACTATAAACAGCGAGAAAAAGTACGTGTTAACGAACAGATGTCAGAAGAAATTGAAATTAGATGTGGAGTAAGACAGGGATGCGTATGGTCGCCAATTCTTTTTAATGACTGCGAAGAGTAGGCCTGAAAAATTCTCTTGAGGATAACAGCTGGAATAAAGGTAAATTGAGTTCCCATTAACAACATTAGATATGCGGACGACAGTGTGATCTTAGCCGAAAATATTGAAGATCTTCAGAGACTGGTGACAAGAATAGCGGAGTATGGAAAAGTGTACGGTCTAACAGTGAACGCCAAGAAGACGAAATTTATGAGAATATAACTTAAAGAAATACCGAGAATATTCTAATAAACGAAACCAACGTCGAACAAGTGGACAAATATGCATATCTGGGAACAATGATTAACTCCACAAATGATTACATTCAGGAGATCAAAATCAGAATAGAAAAGGCTAGAGAAAATTTCAATAAAATGAGAAGAGTGCTATGTACAAGAGATTTAAAATTGTAGAGTAATCAATGAAAAAACTGGAGTCATTTGAGCTGTGGATGTATAGAAGAATTCTGAAAATATCGTGGACAGAATACGT